AATTACACAACTTGTTTTCATAGACATCCAATACCTTGGAAAATGAACTGCACATGAAAAAATGTATTTTGTTAAAGAAAATTAAATGGTCTAGTAAAACTGTTTGCACTACATACTGGGCTCCAGTCCATCCATATGTTTCCTTTTAAAGAGTGCAGAATGTTAGTGTTCTTAGATTCCTGTGCTTCCATTAATATTGTGTGTTTGCTGTTGATTTGTGAAGAAGGGAGAAAAGAGAAGAGCCATTCAAAGGTCAATTACCAGTGGTTTTGAAAAATTAAGCATTGACTATGTCTCTCATGAACTTGGTATGGGAAAGGGCAATTAACTGTACTTATAAATAATTCTCACATTTTTTTTTCTTCCCTTCCTCCTTGTTTCACTGAATCCCAAATTCAGTTTCCTTACATAATGAAATGGTTCTTACCATAGTGCTTATGATTTTTTGGAAAGTGTCACAGCCAGATATCACAACTGTTCATCCTGTTTATTACAGTGGTGCCTCTGTGGCAAGCAACAATGGGGTGCTATTGTGTTAGGTGCTGTACAAACATAACAGATAGTCCCTTGCAATATAATACACAAGACAGACACAGAGAAGGAAGAGCAGGGTGAACAATGTGATGTTACTGTTAATTTACGTTCTTTTTGGGGGGAAGCTTAATTCAGAGGTGATGCGCTAAATGGAAGGAGAAGTGAAGGGAGAAGGGATGTTGAAGGGAAGGATGTCAGAAGAAGAGAACGGGGAAAGGGAAGGTATAAGAGACCAGTGCGGAGTGACGCTAAGGTGAAGAAATGGTGAGGCAGGAGGAAAGAGAGGGTTGGAGCAAATAGCCAGTTGGCACAGGGCAGAGAATGGCCTGTCTGCTAGAGACACAGAGAGGGTGTTATGTGCCTGGGGGCAAAGGAAAAATTTGCCACCCCCCGCCGCACAGCGGGGCCCTGAACCTGCTGCACGGCTGAGCCCGACCCTGGAAAGAGGGGGGAAGCTTGTACCACATCTTCCCCTGCCCCTCCAGTTTGGGTCCAGGCCCCTGCACACACTAATTTGCCGGTGGAGATGGAGGAGGGTTGGGTTGGGGGCGGGGAGGAGACTCCAGCCGGCAGCAGTTTGTGGAGGAGGAGCAGGCAAGTTGAGGGATGAAAGGAGGAGCAGGGGGGACTAAATTGGCGCCCCCCCCCCCAGCGTGGCTGTAAGTTCTTTGAATGTGCTAAGGCCCCTCCTTGGCTGCCTCTGGTCATGTCTCCACCTACCAGAAGATCGACGTTCTGATGATCAATCTTTCAGTGTTCGATTTAGTGGATCTAGTAAAGACCCACTAAATCAAATGCTGAGTGTACACACACACAGCAATGACTAGGGTGAAGGGAAGTCAACAGAAGCATTTCTCCTTTCGACCTTCTTCTGTGGGGCCATCCCAGAAAATCAATGCAAGGTACATTGACTCCAGCTATGTGAATTACATAGCTGGAGTGGCATACCTTGCATCGATTTTTCTCTACCAATGTAGACCTGCCTCTGTGAGGGTATGTCTACACTACCACCCTAGTTCAAACTAGGGTGGTAATGTAGGCAACCGGAGTTGCAAATGAAGCCCGGGATTTGAATTTCCCGGGCTTCATTTGCATCTTGCCGGGCGCCGCCATTTTTAAATGTCCGCTAGTGCGGACTCCGTGCCGCGATTCAGTCAGAATACTTTGACTTATGTCCATCACTCATATAACCATGCTCTCCAGTCCTCCTCCTCTGTCTGGGATCAAATTAATATTAGGGCACTAAACACATCACATTTTGTCTGAGACCAACGTGCATGACAAACTGCGGCCTAACTGCAGCCACTGCACACATGCATAGACGTAGAAGTGTGCAGGGGAGACCTCTCACTTTCACTCTGGGGAAATTAGGTTCCAGGGGCACCTTCTCCACCCTCACCTTCCTTAGATAGAAACTTCAGAAAGCAACCAGCTAGTAGGAACAGTCAGAGTATGTCTACACTACCACCCTAGTTCGAACTAGGGTGGTAGTGTAGACATACTCTGACTGTTCCTACTAGCTGGTTGCTTTCTGAAGTTTCTATCTAAGGAAGGTGAGGGTGGAGAAGGTGCCCCTGGAACCTAATTTCCCCAGAGTGAAAGTGAGAGGTCTCCCCTGCACACTTCTACGTCTATGCATGTGTGCAGTGGCTGCAGTTAGGCCGCAGTTTGTCATGCACGTTGGTCTCAGACAAAATGTGATGTGTTTAGTGCCCTAATATTAATTTGATCCCAGACAGAGGAGGAGGACTGGAGAGCATGGTTATATGAGTGATGGACATAAGTCAAAGTATTCTGACTGAATGCTTAAAGCTAGGCACCTATTTCTACATTTTGGCATTTAAATAAAGGCCTAGCTTTCCAACGTGCTGATGCCTTCATGTCCCAGAGAGTACTGAGTATCTGTAGGTCCCACAAAAAAGACCATGGGAGAGAGAGATGCTCAACACCTCTAAGAATCGGGCCATTTTTAATAGCTGTCTAATTATGGACAGGAATGTTTTACTATGTGTTAGATCATTGCCTCTCCCTTCAGCTCTGCTAACCACACTCACCTAACACAGTTTTAAACACTGCTATTTTTGTCTACACTAGGTACTAAGTGGGGGTTGACCACATGTTAATTAAAACATGTAAGTTAACATGCTTTCTAACCCAACTCAGTGAAAAGGCTCCTGTAGTAACCTTTACATCAGGCCATATATGAATAGTCTTAAATACCTTAGAATTCATAATTATGTTTTGCTCCCAGTTTATTCATTGTGATGCCTCAAGTCAGTCACATACATGACATTTTCAAAGTTGGGTATATTTGGGCACCTAAATAAGTGGCTTGCTTCCTCATAGTGCTTTGCATTCATCCTCCCCCCACTTCCCATTGTCTATAGTGAGTAATCACGATGAGAAAATTTGGTCTTAACATCCTTGTACCTCAGTTTCCTGATCTAGTCAATGACTACAATAGTACTGCCTGTCTCCCATGGTACTGTAAAGCTTTGTTAGTGGTTGTCAACAAAGCTGACAGCCTCTGTGGGCCCCAGAGCAAGGGCGGGAGCAGCTCCACACTCCTGGAAGGGGCGGGACTAAGGGCAGAAGAGGCGGGGCTAAGGGCAGCATGCCTTCCCCAGCTCTGCCCTGAGAGCACGACATGGCACTCCAGCGCCAGTGTAAAGGGCCCAGGGTTCTGGCTGCCGCCATTGGAATAACTGGGCCCCAGAGCAATTGTCCCTTTTCCCATCCCCCATTGGTGGGTCTGGTGGTTGTAGTGAATTTTAAAGTCCTTTAACGAAGTCTGATGTCATTATGTAGAATTTCTTTTGTTGAGTTACAATGTTCATATCCCGTCCGCGCGCCCTGCTTGCAGTACTCGGTCCTATTCGGTGTCGCCTCGCAGCCCTTCTCTCTGGCTCCTCAGGTTAGCGATGCTGGGAATGCCGTAGAGACGGTTAGCTCCAGTTCAGGTGAAAGTGCACCTCAGAGAAACCCTGTGATTTAGCTGAGTGGTAATGACTGATGATGAGCTTTATAGGACATTCCACCCACCCTTTTC